CGTATTTGTGCCAAGATCTTAGATGACAGCAATTCACCAGCTGTTGCAATTCCATCAGTCAAGAACATTAACATGGGCTTTGGATGATCTTCTGATCTTAAATTGCTATTTTCACCAGTTGCATCAACAGCATGAGCACCAAACTGCTGCTTGGCAGCCAATTGCAGTGCCTTTCTCAATGCTCCACTGATATTGGTGCCTGAAATTCATAAACAGCTTAGTCCATAGTATGAAATCGTTATATTAAATTTACAACACACAATAGCACATATGTTACTTTAATGCTTTATATACAAAATGTCATAACTGTACCTGAAAGGAATGCATTCCTTGAAGCTATTTATTAAACTAAAATTAATTTGCCATTCATTTTAAATCAATAAATAGAAATGCACCAACTGAATATGATACATATATAAAAAACAGTAAATAAAGATTAGTACAGAATTTACATATGTGTATTTGTTTGTTATAATGAACAACAATTGGAATTATATGAACAACATTAACTAACAAAGCAAACAAAAAATAAAATGGTTCTATTCAACTTTGATGTATAATGAGTCATTAATGGTAAAAGTCAATAGCTGATGTTCTGAGCTTTGACTTCATACATTCTCATTTAGAGTGCATTCATTGGCTAGGGTAGGGCCATATTTACCTTGCTCACTGGGATCAAACCTCAACTTACTATTTAAGATAAACTTAAGATTTAGTTAGCTAATAAATTAAATATACCACCAGAAGCTTCCATGGATTTTATGAACTGTTTAGCTTTAGCAATGTTGGTTTCCGAAGCTTCATGTGTCATGCTGTATCTGTTGAGTCCGACCATGTCCTGTAGACGATTTGACCATTCCTAGATAAACAGAAACAATGATTCAGTATCTAACAACAGTTTCTGCTAGCATTGTCAAATAATTAAAATGTGTAGTTGATTAATCCACTGTATCTCAAACTTTTCTAAGCGTTGGCACAATAACATGTAATTCAGTATCTTATGGTACATACAATTAAATATTACTATGAAGTTATGCATGTTAGTACGCATGTGTGTGTGTGTGTGTGAGTACAAACATAAGGCTGTCATAATCTTCATCTTGTGACTATGCATGCCAAGCTATTATCTGCAAACATATTCTTTCAATTTCTTTCTGAGTAACTCTGTATATCATGAGATGAAACAACTTACTACAACATTTGTACCAAACTGAATGATGCTAAAATAATCATCCCCCCTGAGGCTGTCAAGGATGGAGTACATGGCCTGTTGGAGTTGTTGAAGCTTGCGGCCCCACATGGAACCACTTGTATCTACAACGAAGATTATATGTTTTGGCAGTGGAGGAACATCTTCAGCAGCAAAGAAGTGGACAAAGTATCCATCCATGAACTGCAAAATACAATCGTTAACTGATGTCAGAAATGGATTTCATTTCAGCTGTGAAGGAACTTCTTCAGGATCACAAATGAGGATAAAGTATCCAGCAAAGTGTTACAAATGTAAATTCCTGGTGGCTTACCATGATATCACCTGCAGGACTTATTGATCTGTCTACATCATATTCTATAATAAGCTGCTGCAATCCAAACCCCAGCCGACTCTGCTGCTTGCTTTCACTTGGGGCATAGTGCACATGAGCTGACAGTGGAGACAGGTACTCCACCAAGACTTCATCATCTGCTGCAGTCAAAATTATATTTCTCAAGCCTCTCATACTTGAAAATCAACATCATCTTCATATGGTGCAGCCCACTTTATTTTAAAAAAGAGGCTCTATAAAACTGAGTCATTAAATTGGGCATGGAGGAAATACCATTATTTCCACAAGAAAAGTCACAAGAGTAGGAACATTACACTCATTTTGAGTAAAATGTTGCTACCAGAAGAACTTAGACATGACAGTATTGTTAATATGTCTGGTGTAGAATAAATGCCAAATTAAAAAATAGTAATGGTAGTATAAACACTACATGTGTAATGGATGAAATAATATAATGACAGAAGAACCAAGTTACAGTGGAATAACTTTTACAACCATTGTGGAGGGAATTAACTTTTCAGCAGATTAAGTTACATTTGAATTATGTAGGACTTTCTTACATACATATCATTCTAGTTGTCATACTCTTCCTAGTAAATTGTCTTACTCCTATCTTCATATATTTGGTTGTCTCGTAATGAGAGGTATTTTATTGTTATATTTGTCAAGATTAGTGGCTTGGAACTGAACTCAGAACACTTCGCATACAAACCTAATATGCACACCATTATACCATCATTAAAACTCCCACTGATTCTTAACTATGAGACACCAATATGTGTCCCTTGTATGCTATGTATAACAAAACCACAATGAGAGTAATCTCTACCTTTCTATTCCTTTGCATTTCAAAACTATTATGGTTTGATACTGGTAGTCATATGAAAATTTCATGGAAGAGAAGAGTGTCTAGGAAACTGCACAATGTTGCTATTCAATAAAATCAGCGTCAACTCATGGCCAACATTAGTGATTAAAATACCATGTGCTGCCAGAAGACCCTATACAAAAGTGACCTGTGGACAGATACACATATTCTTGTCAACTTACCTGATTGTAAAATTCCTCTATCATCAGAAGTTGTTACGTTTAGAAGTGTGATGTTTCTTATCTCCTGAATAAATACATCTACATTAAGGTCTTGCACAGCCTGCAAGCAGGAAAACAATACTGCAGTTGCTGAAGAAACGTTTCAGCAATATCAAATTAACTGATTTGCAAAACAAGTCACACATTGCTTTTTATTAAAATAAAAATTCTTTCATGCTTGTTTCAAAACCAAGAGTTCTACAAAAGGGAAGTCAGCTGGATATACCTATTGTAGAATTACATATAAAAATGGGTCTAAATTGATAAGGTAGATGAATGAAAAGATGAATGGATGTACAAACATATCCCATTCCATTACACAATCACTTTGTGCACAAAGAGTAAAGAACACACAAATATTTCAACAGGTGCAGTATCAGTTATAATAAAGTGGACATGTAGAACACCTCAGAAAACAAGAAAGGATTAAAAAAATTTGGAGGAAGAACTTTATAAAGATCATTTGCAAAACACAAGGAATAAATGTAATAAGAAATTTATTGTAACAATAAATTAAATTAATCGACTCAAGATAGAAAACGAGAGCAACTTCCATCCATATCTTTTCCAATTTATCATTCATTGACTGGGGTTCAATCTCCAACAGGGGCAGAGGATTTTTCCTCTAGCCTCTACATCCAGACTGTATCTGGGACCCACCCAGCCTCCTGTCCAGTGGGTAATGGGGTCATTTCCCAGGAGTAAAGCATGGCAGGGGCATGATGCTGACCACTCAACCTCATCTAGTGCCGAGGTTATGAATGAGTAGCAGCCTACCTTTTCTCCCCACAAGTACCTACATGGCATGCAGTGGGACAGCTTTACTTTTACTTTTTCTCAATATTCATAATCACCTTCTCACTTATAATAACATCAGCAGTTAATAAGAGTAATTAAATACTGTGTAACAGAAATCAATCTATGGCAAATACCTGTCCTGGTGTGAGAGTAATGGTGTGATGATAAGCAGACAGCCGACGAGTGAGCAACTCTTCATAAGTTAAATTGAATGCCACTTTGCTTCTTGCTGCCACATTCACTGACACCACAAACATGTTAGAATCCCGTGCACTAAAAAAATAATACCCACATTCTTTGACTGGACCTCCTCACTCATACTATATTATTAAAAAGTGGAAACATCTTAGGAAGAAGATAACTAAAGTTCAAGTTGTTTTGTAGTCACCTTATTCTAGCTTTGTTCTGTTTTATATGGGTTAAGGGGCAAGTCTCCAATCTCTTCTAGCTTAGACATTTTACATGATTATAAATTTATAAGATTGGAATTTTGTTATTTACAAGGATCATCTAGTAATATTACACTGAAATAAGGAGGTAGCAATAAGTAGGGCATCAAGCTTACATGAGACAGATAAGGAATGTATATAGAGTTTTGGCAAGGAAATGTCTTGGAAAGAAGCCATTTGGAAAACAGGAAACAAGATGGTAGATCGCATTAAGGTGGATCTTAAGAAATAGTAAATTATTAGGGTGGGAAATTAATATAACTGGCAGACAACACAGTATAAACAAACAATGTAAGAATCAATAAATTATTTTTTTAGTGTGGAGTGTTATAAAAAATAAATTAATAAAAGCTATACTTTTAAGGTTCATAAATCATACACACTGATGACTTGAATGTCTGGCCTTTCATCACACAAATAAGTCTTGTCTGAAGAATGCAATTTTTTCATGTAATCCCAGACATTTCACTTCTAAATTAGGGCAATGCTCTGAAATACCTTTCTCTTCTTCTTTTCCTTGTATTCACATAAGAAACAATTTAATTCTGTAATTGAAATTCTCTTTTCCATCATCTCTTCTGTCTTATCCTCATTCTGTACCCCATAATCTTATAATTCCATATATTTTTCCCAGGACAACTACAGAAATGCAGGCCCAGGGAAAATCAATCTATGCAGAGCCCATACCAATTCAGTCACTATGTTGGTAACAATGTTATTCCTTCCCATTAGTTGTCAAGTGGAAAATGTAGATTTTAAAAGTGTAATAATTATGGTTATCACTAAAGAATGAAGATAGAAATGTAGACAGTTTGACTAATACAGATTTATGATTGATATGAATTGGTTCAGTAACTGGAATCAAAAGAACTAATATATGATTTTGTTACTCTGAAAGCAAGGATGGTGTACAGTAAGTAGCATATATTTTGTAATGTGTGGCACTCCCTCAAGTGCAGGACTCTGGGCAGCTGCTCCATTCTAGGGCTATCCCTGATCTTTGACCTTCTTTATACCTGATCTTTCCATATCTTCCTACATGAAGGAATCTCTACTATATTATCAGACTTAAGTTTCACATGTACTTTAGTACTTATTTTTGTCCATTCATTTCTCCATGTAGCTATCATCTCTGCTACTTCATTTCCTTATTCTTTGTTATTTCTGTCATTCTGTGTACGTTTTTACCACTGGTATAACCAATATTTTGTATAATTTAAAACACATACTTCTAGACCTTACTTCAATACAATGCATGTGAACTAATCTACTCACATATATGAGTTACATAAATCTCTCTTCTTCCAATCAACTGCTTACCTGGTACCAACATGTGCTGCAGTATGGCCAGACTCTAAAGCCTCCTGGTATTCTTTTTCTGCTTGAACTTTTTTCTTAATATGTGCTTCATACACTTTCCCATCAATCTCCCTGCAATATAATTTATAAACACAACCTCATAAACATAAGCAGAAATACACATTACTGAAAAGTTACCTACATCTTGTGAGCCTGTCTGAACACTTTCAATGCTGTTATGAATGGTTCTTGTATAAACCTACCTTTTTTCCCCTCTAGTTTAGTACATGGCATTATCAGTGCAATGAAACATGTATTACCATATCTTGGCACATTACAGTAACCATTTCCAAGATCCCAAAAATTTAATTTATAAGTTAACATTAACATACAGAACAAAACAACATCTGACTTCTGAAAGTCTCATTAAGCACAGGAATAAAAAAGTGTGGTTAACAGCGTTTTCTATTAAATGATAATGTACAGGATAAAAACTTATAACACAAAAAATTATTTCAATAGGAACAGAAGTAATTACTTTATCAAATTTTCAGTGAATGAATAAAACATTATGTCAGACAAATATAAAAGAACTGCCATTATCGCTGCTTGTTATTATTAATATAATCATTTCACATGGTGGTTATTCCTATGAATGAGTCAGATACAAATTGACTAAGAAACCATAGAATTATTATCACTAATTAAGTAACTCCCTAAACCCAAAGGTTCAACACCACTGATATCAAAGCCTTTACTTTCCAAAAGGTTTCCTTAGTGAAATTCTTTGTACATAACTTGTTTCACATCCACATGCCTAGTGGATAACAGACCCCTGTACAATCCACAGAATTCCTCTTTAATTATGATCCTGAGACCACTCAATTTGTCCTCCTTAGTTTTAAATATTATCCTGAGCACATATTATTATTATCTTTCCCTTCTGGAAGCTGTCGGTCTCCACATCCCTGCTCGGAATCCGAGAGATTTTTCTATGTTTAGTTTCAGCCCTTCAATTAAAAACAGTCCTTCTGCTAGATGCGGTAATAGACTAATTTCCTTAATTTATTTAAATTATTATTATAAATATACTCATGTATTTAGTAGAATTTTTTGTGTATTAGCATCCTCCACACTAATGTATTTTTATATTTTGTTTGTTATTACCTTCTATATTTATTATTGTGTTCGTGTGCTCATCTCTGTGCTGTATCTGTAATTAGCCTTCTGGCTGTCGATACAGCACACTAATATTATTATTATTAATAATAATAATAACAACAACAACAACGAATAAAGAAAGAAAGAATTATAGTAAGGATGAATAAAATGATGGGGAGAAACATTACAATTTAATTCTGAAAGTGGTACATAGATATGTAATGTGCAGAATTCAATGGCTTATAGATCTCAATTTTAGGACAAAGTTGAACTCACATAAGGAATTTGGTGATGAAAGCTGTGTCAGGCAGTGTCACTCTGAACAAGGCCTGGTCTGAGGTGTCCCCTGTGTTTTCAATTCTGCTGTAGACCACAGTTCTAGCATAACGGTGTTTTATGTCAGACAGCACATACAGGTTATTTACCAGAATGTTGCATTTCTCATTAGTTGAGCTGCATTTTCGATTGGAGATCTGTCAATAAAAAGGTTAGATCAGAATTCTGTTTCTTCTTAATTTAATCAATACAGTATTAAGGTGACTCCTTCTGAGCATGTGAAATTATTCAAAATTATGTACAGTGATGCTACTGACGCTGAATGTTCAACTGAGGCCTTGATTCCTCAGACTACGGGTTTTGTAAGTTGAAACTAAAACTCTAACAATCCCAATATTTGAAAGCCTTAGGCCACTGCCATTTCCTCTTCAGTCATAATTATAATCCTCCTCATCATTAGCAGAGTACTCGATAAACTGAAGAAACGAATATGGCAGAGTTCAAACGCCCAGGGCCGGTGTAGAACCGGTTCTTAAGAACAATCTAGAGCTTCAGGCGGTGTAAGCGGCATTGAACTTGGCGAACTCCTAACAAGTTTCATACCGTAGCCCGACGCACGGACCAGGAACTTCTTAACCTGCAGTCTTTGGGGTGGGTAGGAGTGACCAATGTCGGCGAAGTTTGTAACGGTCAACGATCGAGTGAATACCGGGACTAAGGACCGGAATCCTATGGATTGAATGTTTTCGTCAGTGTCAGTTGTCAAAACTCACGGTGTATGCGCGGTGTGAAGGGCACACTGACTTCAACCGCTAGCACACAGCAATCGCGGCTTCTAATCCTGTTCGGGGGG